GAAAACAGTGGGAAACTTAAATGCCAATCAATTGACAAATGGCAATGGGTGCATGTATATGCACTAAACTCAAAAGATATACATTATGTTTTGTCATGAAAAAAATCAAGGTGGTATATGACAAAATTCCCTTTAAAAGTATATACATATGTGTGTGAAACTTTGTCTATATAACACACATAGGCTAATATATGTGTAAATCATCAAAGCTGCAAGTTTATGTATCAAACTGCTAACAATAATTATTTCTGAAGGTTGTGATAGGAGAGATGGGTAGAGGGGGGCGGATTTTTCACTTTGGACTTTATACATTTCCAAAAAAAGTGATGGAATAGCACGTGGTTTTTAAAATACTTCTCTCTCGTGATTTTCTACAGTTTTCAAATTAGATGAAATATTTTCAAAACAAGTCATGGAGCTTAAGTGTTATAATAAGGAGATGAGACCCAAACTGTGAGGGTCAGTAAGAGGAGATGCAATGAATACAGTCTGTTCCAGGGAGAAGTATGTCTTCAAGTAGAACTCTGGATATTGTGTTTCTTATGAGGCAATACAAGTCTGCTCCTTTAAATATTGTCCTGGTAGGGCTTAAGCTTCATTTGGAAGCTTCATCTCTTTTAGGGTTCATTTCCCTATTGTCCAATTCAACTCTGTGTCATTCCCACGTATAAACTTGTTGCCTTTGTATGATGCATGAGGAGACCTTGTCGAATATGTTGTCTTTCACACTATGAGTTGTGACATATTCCTGGGTTGTAGAATCAGTGTAGTGGGTCTTGTCCAGCATGTCTTAGAAAATAAAACTAGGATGGAACAGAGAGTATCATGTATAATAAGATGCCTTATTATTTCATGGAACCTTGGCTTTAGGTGTGTGTATATGTGTGGTAGATTGAGATGTAAAATGTATTTCTCATTGTGAGTCAATGACAAAATGCTTAAAAGCCACTGGTCTTAACACAAGTCTAGAAATAACCAATAGTATCATCTTGTGGATGCCTCTGCAGCTCCTGTGATCTGTCAGTTTCTTTGAGAGATGTCCAAGTCAGGACTTCATGCCAGCAAATAGCAAATTTCTTTATTTAGATTTCTACCATTATAGCTAAGTGATTTCAGATATTGAAGGCTTTCCTTCTTTTTTCCATCTTGTGATGACTACTTTAAAACTGCATAGATTTTTTGAAAGGACTTAGACACTTTGATGTTGTGCTGTCAAAATAAGGTGCATGACAGTGTGTTAGGTAGTCCTCAAAACCGTGGAAAAAAACAAATTTTAAGTAAAACAAGCATAGTCACATTATGAAAGACTACAAAGGTCATATGGATTTGTAAGATAATATACAAGACTTCAAAGTTCTTTCTCTCCTGCAGTAATCACTGTGGGTGATCTGCCCTGAAATCCCAAGGGCACCCATTCAACTCTCCTGCCCTCAAGAATACTTCAGTGGAAAAGCCTGCTGTAAGCCATTGTGAGCCAGACTCATAATTAGCAAGTGACACCACTGCAGAAATTCATCCACACTTAATTGAGAAGGAAAGAGGTCATGGAATAAGAGTTGTGAAGGTAATAACTTCTGGCTACACTGGGCAATTTTGTTTTCAAGGAACAGAGATTCACTCAGATCATCTCAATTACTAGAGATTTATTATAGAGATAAACAGAATTAACAATAAAAATAATAACAGCTACAGGAATATCATGGGGAAACAAGAAGAGCCTTGTACCTTAAAATAGAGCCTCACTGCCACTTAAACTGTCATTTTGGATCCAGGAAGCAAGTGATCAGGTATTTATTGTGGCCTCTACAGAATAGGTGACAAAGGTCTGTGTCTCTGCTTCTCTGAGCTGCCAACCAACTACCTGATCTCAGGTTGTATTTTTTTGGTTTGTGCTTTGTTGTGTCTTCTTTACCAAATTTATCTCATAGTATCTACTGTTTCTGTCTCTGCTGCCTGCCTATTTCTAACAATGACTGACTTTCTGCCTGCTCAGTTCATATTCCCAGAGAGAATTTCTGAGTGGTCTAGCTAATAAGGATACTTCCTGCCACCAGCTGAGCATGTACAGACTCTGGAGCCAGATAGCCTGTTTCAAAGCCCAGCTTTACTGAGTACTGGGCATTTGACCTTGGGCAACTGATTTAAATTTCTGTTCCTCAGCTTCCTTACCTATATAATGGTGTCTATCCCATAGAATGGTTGAAGAGTCGATGTGTGATAAGTACTTTTAGCTCTCATTAAGTACTGGTACTCAAGTAGAGCTTTTGCAGCAATGCTTTTCAGTTCTTGAGATAACCTATAGGAATGGCCAGTATGCTGGGGCCACAATATACAGACATGATTTCCTAACTTCATATGAATAAGTATCTACTGTACGCCAAGCCCAGCAATGATGCTTTCATGCTTGTAGGGAAACACAATGAAGAAAAGCCGGGGGGGGACATGGGTACTTGAGCAATGGCAGTGATAGAATCTCATTGAGGGTATAGCACTTGAGCTGTGACCCAAGTGACAGAGGAACTTGTATCAGACAGTTCTCTCTGCCAAGTTTTGTTCATCTCTCCGGTTGGCCTTCTTAGACAAGTCTAAGATCATCCTACCCTAGCTCTCTCTTGTGTGCCTAAGGCTGCTTCATGGAAACTCGCATTCTTTGCACTGATGTGACCCAGGCCAACCACAGTGCAGCACAACTCTTCTGTGCTTTACTGCCGAAGCAGCAAGCCAGACCACCCCTTGCTGCTTCATGATTCACCCAGAAGTCAGATGCCGGTGATATGTACACTACACTCCCAAAGGCCTCCACAGTTGTCATTTTGCTTGTTTGTTTTGAATGTGTTATAGTAGAGGAAAGATTGATGGCTAGATTTTCACAAGCCCTGCCAATTAGTAGGGATTCACGTTTTTCTTTCCCATTAATAACAGCTGTTGATTACTATTTTAAACAGCACAGTGAGTGAGCCTCACTAGCAAATTCATAAATACATCTGTCTCCAATCTTTAAAATTAAGAGCTACAAAACTGACTTGGCAAAGTAGAGGGGTCTGTTTCACTACTTGTTAATCCTTTCAGCCATAAATTGGTATGAATCAATTCTATATATTATTACCTATGAAGGTGAAGGAAATAAAAACAGGGGAACCGAGAAGAGGACTAATATTGAGGGCCTTCTATGTAATTTTTTTATATGTATTATCAGCTCTAATTCTCAAAACTATTCAATGAGATGCATATTATTACCCCCACTTTTACAGAGGAAGATAGAGGTATTTATACATGGAGATATACAACTATAAGATGGTCAGATATGTTCTCCCCTCTATGAAGAAGTAAGGACAAGTCTTGCTAATCGGATAACTGATCACATTATAACTCCTTTCAAGGCAAACAAGAGTCTGTTCTTGGTAGCGTGGGTGGAGGGAGGGCACATTCCTTTGTATGCTTGTCTTTTCCCTTTCATCTTTTAATTTAATTTTTTTAAACCAATCCTTCAACTTGGAAAGAAAAGAATTTCCCTTCCTGTTGAAATAAATAACAAATCTGGGGTTTTAGCTACCTGATGTTCTTTGAAATGTCAATTTCAAGGGAGAAAATTAGTGTTGGAGAGCCTGGGACTAAATTTCAACTGTGCCTTTCTAAATTGTGCATGCAAATGGACAATTAGACCTGCGATGGGTAATTGCATGCCTAAGTGAACCCTTCCACAAATAGTTTAGAAGCTGATTTTGAAGGTTGAATTTGTAGCAGTCCTTATAAATTTCCTCTCCTGCTGGAAAAACCTATGGAAGCTCATCCTTAACTATAATAAGGGAACACCTCTCTATTCCAGACACTTCCCAGCAAAAACAAAAACAAAAAAAGTCATTTGAGGAGGTGAGAATAGAGTCATTAGTATTAGTAAGCCATTTATGCATCCAGAAATAATACTGTTAGTATTTTATCCTTATCTTTCTCAACTTATTAATATATTCGTAAAATAGTCATATATTTAATACTGTAATATACTTTTTCACATTTAATAATGTATTCTATAATGCCTATTCTTCCATAATCTTTTTATCACCTTCATGTTTTTCCATTTTAACATATCACAATGTATGGAACTGGCATTCAAGTATTTAATGTTAGGTTATTTCTTAACTTGCTATATTATAAAATACATTATTATAAAAATGCAGTGGTAAACATTAAGGCCCATTGTTTTTTACGTAATTCACTAATTATTTCTTCAAATCACTTCCCCCTCATGCAATTCTGAATAGTATCATTCTTTTTGACTCTTGTCATAATAGGTGGAAACTAACTCTTTTTTCCTTATTGTTTTCATTCATATTTTATTTTTATTTTTTTTATTATTATTATTTTTTTGCCTGTTGAATGGAATGGGGATTTAATAAATTGCACTACTGAAAAAAATAACGCAGTGAGTCTCATCACAGCTAATATCCTTATACAATCTAGTTGTGAAATGAATGTTTATAATGCTTCAAACAGTTTAGACCTGAAGTTTGATACCACACCTTCATTATTTGTACATTCCTCAATAAGATTATCTACAGTATTAGCAACCATTCAAAGAACAAACCATTGAGTAAAACCACATTGATTTAAGGCTCAATCAAGTAATATGGAGCCCCAAACTAAATGGTTAAATATATGAACTACTTGTACTGACATCTATTATTTGATTCTCTCATGACTATTAAGTTGGTTCTTAGCAAATAAATCCTTTAAAGGCAAAATTCACGTCATTTGAGTTTGACCCAGAAGTTCAACAACAATCATGAAGTCCACAGTCTTATTGGCAAAACTGATATACAGTGTCTCTAAGTCACTATGCTCAAGGTTAAGAGCGATGCATATTCCATCTTTACATTTACTGGAATTTTACATGTTCAGTTCATGATTTTAAATCTCTAGGTTTTCATTCCTCCAAACTGTCTGAAGACACAGTGTGCCACAGACTTAAGACTTCTGTTTCTCCCTCTATTTTCTTCAAACAGAAACACTTCTCAAGTGTCTACATGTCCTAGAAGGGGAATTTTTCGGAGGTGGCCACTTCTTTGGAATAGTCCGATGCCATCAGGCCTCTGAAGCAAGGGGAGGGGGAAGAGAAAAAAGCTGAAACACAAGGTTCATCTGGTAAGTTTTACATTAACCATTACAAGCTGGATAGTATAAGAATGTGGCTTTTTGGCTCAAAAAGTCTGAGTCTTGGTGTGGAAACGAGTACTTGGCTGTCCCACCACAGCTTTCTTGTAGTGGGACTGTCAGGGAAGTCTTGACTGGGGAGTATGATTTGTTTACCTATCAGGCGTAAACTTCCAGGCCCTCAGTTCATTTTGGGCTTGTTCCAGTTTGCCTTTAGTCTGTTCCAGTTCACCTTTCATTTTTAGGAAAAACAAGTTGATCGCTGGGTCTACCATTGTTGATCTCAGTTGGGCAACGCTAGGCACTGGACTTGCTTGAGGTACTGGATTTGAGAAGTACACTCTTGCAGCTCTTGCTCCTTGGTTGCTAGTCGCATTACAAGAATGTTTTCCCTGCGTGCAGACTCTTGCTGTTGCTGCTTTCGTTTTTCTTCAGATTCCCTTAAGCCAGTTACATCATTAGAGTTAAGATCCGTGTACTTGCCCTCCAAAGCTTGCACATATGCTTCATATTGTTTCCACCTGAGAATTAATTCATCTCGTGCCATACTTTGGAGTCTGTTTCACTCAGTCGAACCTTTTTAGGAAGAGGTTCCTCGTTGGTCATCTTGAATCCTCTCCTGACGGAGGCCGCGCCGGCGCCGCCCAGTCACATAGGCTGACCCCGCGCTACCCGCTTGCTGCCCGGGGGCCGCCCGACCCCGCTGCTGCCGTCCCCCGCGCTCCTCCTCCCGCCACAGCTCCGGCTCTCCCGTTTATTTGCAGGTCTCGCTGCCACAAAATGGCACTGAGGGAGGATCATTCCTATTTTAGGTTGTGGTCAACAGCTTGCAAAGGCCAGTCTTTCTTCCCCAGCTCAGCACTTATATGAATGATCTTCCTGTCCTTTAAAGGGCCCTTTCCCTCTTTTTTCCAGCAAGATCCATTAACTCCCTGTAAAATTACTATGCCATGGAACACAGTAGAAAATACTAATCTTCCTCATTCTATGCCAAGTAAAGCAGTGTGATATAACATACGTTCAATAATTTATTTAATTATGTATGCTTTCTTTCGTGTGTTCATATCTACTTAAATCACAAAACATGAATTAAATTTCCTTGGAGATTCAGGAAAAATCAAGAAGTAGTAGTCTTTGAATAAGGTATCTTCCTAACTTCGTACCTTCCTTTCTCCCTTCCTTCCTTCCTTTCTTCCTTCCTTCCTTCCTTCCATCCATATCCTTCATTATAGATATTCATATATCCTCTCAAGTAGGATACATGCTTCAATATACTCAGTGAAATAACTACACATGTTTAGTTTATAGCAGTTTTAATGTCAGTGATGAAAATTGTAATAGTAATTTAATTTCACAAAGAGCTGTGGTCATAGGCTAGATGATATGAGTGTCACAGGAAGGTCTCTTGATACACATGGACTTAAAAAAACATGGATGCAAAGAGTTAATATCCCACATGTTTAGAAACAAGACTAATCTATCCACTTTGAAAGATATTTAACCTGGCTGAAATGTATTAGCATATGAAAAAATTAAAATTGAAAAAAATTTAAGACAACAGTCTTAACACTGGATAAACACAACTATTTTATGAGAATTCCAGGGAAAAAGAAATGGCCTATTATGATCATTTTGGTGGAAGCAGCAGGAATCAAAGCTCATCAACTCTGGAATTTTAAATGAAAATGATTGTTTCATGATATGATAACCCTGTCCATATATATTAATGTTTTATAGACCACCAGAGGATTATGTGCTTTGAAAAGCTCTATTGATAGTGAATTAATTTACCTCAATGATGGAAAATTAATGAGTATTGGCAAGACACTCCTTAAATTGAGTTATCCTATTACATAAAATACTGTATAAATGTATTGTCAGCTTGTTGGGTGGCTTATTTGTTTTGTTTCGATTTTTACCCTTTCAAGAGTTTTACATTTACCATAGGAATATCTCATTTAACTAATGGCATATAAATATATACCTTAAAAACTAACTGCTACTGATTTTGAACAAATATATTTGAAAATTGTACCTCTCAGATGGTTGTATAAAATTCATTTCATTCTTCATGCCATTATTTATTTTTTATTTTTTTATTTTTTACAATCACTTTTAATGAGCATTTTCTATGCAGAGGAGAAGTATGTTACAAAGTATACCATGTTCTTTAAATATAAGTAATAAGTATTCCATATCACTCTCTCTTTCTGAATTACCACTCTCGAGCTATACCAGAATTCTTTCAATTCTTAACTTGTGCCAAGTTCACTCACACTTCAGGAACTTTTACCCACCCTTCCTTCTGCCACCATTCTTTACTAAATTATTTTTTAATTCATTATTTTTCCAGAAGACCCTGATGTCCTAGTCTTAAGTTTGGTTTTCCACTTGTGAACTTCCATAAGTGCTGTATCTTCTGTACTATACAATTTAGCATTCTGTATTACTCACTGCTCAACTGTGAGATTCCTGAAAACAAGGGTATTATCTCTCTTGTTTGTCCTTGCATCTTCAGTCTCAAGAAGTGTCTGGCAGAAAGAAAGGAATAAATAAATATTTAATGGATAGTCAGATTGATGAATGGATGGATAGGTGAAACAGTTATATGAGAAAACAGGGCACATTTGGGAATTCTTAGGGAGCAGTGAAAAAAATGTTGTAAGCACAGTCGATTCTCATCATTTGCAGTGTTTTCGTTTTGAGAAGTTGCCGCCACACTGAATTAGTGAATACAGAATCATTGCTCCTAGGAGAGACATAAGGATAGGTTCCTATGAGCATCTGGTCACCACATTTTTGTCCACTGATCAATATGTAACTTTATATTATGTGTGTCTCTGTTTAAAGACCTTATTAAGCGTATATTGTTGATTTATTAACATCAAGCTCATGGCTAACACTATAACTAATGCCTGAGTGAAACTTACCTACAACATGTATTTTCTCCATAAGGCACATAACAGCCTTCTTGCACTTAGGAACGCTAAAGAACACTTCAGCACTATGCTTGGGAGCCATTTTAAACAGCAAAATCACCAAAAAAAGCACAACAATGCAAAAAATGTGGCACTAAATAGCCTGCAAAATAATCACTTTTTTCCAGTATGAGAGCTGAAACAGGAAAGTAAAGGATTGCCTTATTCCACCTTGGCTGGCAACATGTGTGTCAGGCAATGCAATTTTTTGTTGCCCTGCACATGTGCATGTCCCTGAATGCCTGTGAAAGTGCTATGAGTATTGGTTTTGAAGTTACAAATTAATTTGAAAATGTGGAATATGCAAATAATGAAGCTTGACTGTGTTTGGTGCTAGTGAAAAAATATGGCTTCTGTTATCCAAGAAGATGGGAAACAATCAAATAACTATAAGACAAAGCAAACATAAAGATGCACAAAGAAAATGTTCAAGGAGTTTGGAATAAGTGGGCATAACTATAATCAGATGAGACTTCATAGTGAAAGTGGCCTTTAATCTATACATAGAAGGATAAGTAGAATTTTAAAAGAAGAATATAAAGAAAAATCTGGATGAAAAGACATGGCTTTGGGAAATGAATGAATGTTTGATAATGCTTAGAAAAGCCAGTTAAAAAAAATGATTGTAATAGGCCATCAGGTGGATAGACTAAACCAATAATAGTAAGTGTAAAAAATCCTAAGATAGAGATGAAAGTAAAATAACAACAGAATGAGCTAATGAAATGGATCTAGGAATGTTATCCACGATTGTATCAGTTTTCTACTGCTGCACAACAAATTACCACAGATTGAGCAATTTAAAAACAGCATACATTTATTATCCCACAGCTTCCATGGGTCAGGAGCCCAGGCAGAGATTGAGGCTGAGTCCTCGGGCCAGGATCTCACTAGGCTGCAGACAAGGTTTGGCTGGGTTGCATTCCTCTCTGGAGCTCAGAGTTCCCTTCCAAGATCATGTGGCTGTTGGCAACTTTAGCTGCTTGAGTTTGTAGGACTGAGGACCCCATTTTCTTGCTTGCTGTCAGCCTGGGGCTGCGCTCAGTCCCAACATCCGGGCCACACACCTCAAGGGAAGCTCACTTATTCAAGTCAAACAGGAAGATCTCTCTTGTTTTAAATTTATCCCTTCATACAAGGCCTAAATTCTCTATTACACAGTTCACCTGATTAGGTCAGGGCCACCCAGGATAATCTCCTTTTGATTAACTCAAACGACTGTAATTACATCTGCAAAATCCCTTCACTTTTGCCATATAATGTAACCTAATCACAAAGAGACATCCCAGCATAATCACAAGTCCCATCCACACTCAGGGGAAGAGAATTATATAGGGTACAGGACTCCTGGGGGCAAACTTATAATGCTGCCAAGCATAAGGGTACATTGAGTTCATGCATGTATGATCCCTCCTCCATTTTTTTAAATTACTATTACTAGTCAATCACAACTTGCCCAGATCTAGCATTTCCTTTTTTTTTTTTTTTGTTTTTTTTTTTTTGCGGTACGCAGGCCTCTCACTGTTGTGGTCTCTCCCGTTGCGGAGCACAGGCTCCGGACGCGCAGGCTCAGCGGCCATGGCTCACGGGCCCAGCCGCTCCGCGGCATGTGGGATCTTCCCGGACCGGGGCACGAACCCACGTCCCCTGCATCGGCAGGCGGACTCTCAACCACTGCGCCACCAGGGAAGCCCTAGCAGTTCCATTTTTGAACTTACTAAAACAGGGGAATCCCAAAGAAGAAACTTTGTGTCCCTGGGTTCAAACTTGGTTGAAGCTCAGTTTGAGATCTCAGTTAGGACCAAAGTGATCTGCGTAAGAAAGAGAGAGAAGGCCCTAAGGAGAGGTCCAAGGGCAGGGAGAGGAAGAAAACATTTCTGCAGTGCTGTGAGCAGCGGCAAGATCGAGAGGTATGCCCAGAGACAGAGAGAAAGGGAACACGTGAGACAGCCATGGAGGATGAGAAGCTTTGGAAGAGTTGGCATGTTGAAAGGAGATTTTCAAAGCTGCTTGGATTTTGCGTTTCAAAAAGTAGCTACTCCTAGGGCTTCCCTGGTGGCGCAATGGTTGAGAGTCCGCCTGCCGATGCAGGGGACACGGGTTTGTGCC